ATAATACCATTCACACTGTTTTTCAGTATAACAAATTATTCTGATAAATGATACCTACAGTTTACATAATTGTTATCACCAAAAATAATGTAAATTTACAACCAATCGAACAATAGCCAGAATAAAATGCTTATTTGGTTTCAAAATTTTAAGGATTTTTTTAATTAATCATAATTTAATTAATTGTGGTTTTTACACAAATTAGTTTTTTGCTGCAAATATTTACATATTACAAATTATTAACTAATATAAAAAATCATTTTTTTGATCTTAAACAAAAAAACATAATGGCAAGAAATTTTGTCTGTGATATTTACCATCCTAAAAAAATTTACCATCCTCATAAATCCATTTATAACTTTTCCTTAAAAAACCAAAAAGAAAAAATCTAGTTGTTTTTAAATCCCCAAGATTTAAAAGTGCATTTATCAAGCCTTTGAAGATGAAGAAAACTTAACTACTTATTAATAAACTATAAGTTCAAACAAAACTTATAGTTTGTGTTCTTTTTGTTTATTTTAAGTCGATATCGGACAAAGTAACTTGTTTAATGTTGAATATTATGACAGAGATACTTAATTTTATCTACGAGTTTAGAAAACTGGTATTTTTATGAAAAAAATAATAAACAGACTTAAATTTTCTTTTTAATTATAAATTTTGTACATTTTTTATTAACAACACTCTACGAATGTGTTTGAATTTAAGTAGAATTGTCACTTTGTATGGCAACAAAAAGTTTTTGCAAATATTCTTAGTTTTAGCATTTTAATTTCCATTATGAAACACAAAAAAATTTTCAAATTAAAACTACAGTAAAACCTCCCAAGAGCGGGAGGCGTGGGAATTTTGTTCTCTCAAGAGCGGGCATTTTTAGCCAATCAAACCTCAATTACCGCTCGATAGAGAACTCTATTTTTAGTTTTAGTCTAAAAAATGCCCGCTCTTGAGAGAACCCGCTCTTCAGAGGTACCGCTCTTTGGAGGTTTTACTGTAAAAAACAAAACCAAATAACAAAAATTATTCTTTATTTTTGTTATTTTATAATGCTAATAATATAAATAAATTTATTATAACATGCTTTAATTTAAATATCATATTAATAAAAAACAAATAAACTTACAAAATAAATCTAAAAACAATGGAGGTGAAAACATTAAGATTGAAAACAATTCTTACTGGAAATTTTAATGTTGGCAAAACTTCGATAATAAAAAGACTTTGTTGTAACGCATTTGATAAAGATATGAAACCCACAATAGGTGGGCCTGACACGTCGGATGTATACACTAGTAATGGAACAAAAATTGAGCTTGTGTTATGGGATACCGGTTTGTTGTAAAAAAAATAATGTGTATAATACAACTTCACATTAAACATATGATAATATATAACACTTTCGAAATGTCATTTACAAAAAGCGGGACAAGAAAAATATAATTGTCTTTTTCCTCTGTTATACAAAAATTCCAGTATTGTTATAAGTTTGTTGTTTTTATCATTTTATAGATATACTTAAGTAACATCCAGTTGTGTATGATCCCAATGATTCACAATCTTTTGAAAACGTGACGTATTGGGTCGATTCAGTACACCAATATTGCGACAAAAACACAGTTATTGTTGTTGTTTGCAACAAAATAGATTTGGAAAATCAATTAATTACAAAGGAAATGGCTACTCTATTATGTAAACAATATGGTGATATTCCACTCATGTTTTGCTCGGCACTAAGTAGTGATGGCGTTAAGGAAGTTTTTGATTTTGCAGTCAACAAGTTTTACAATACCAAAGGCGATAAAATGTTCGCACAAACAAATAACACAACGAAACACCACAGCAATGTAAGTTGTGGCATTTTCTAATATTTTCTACGATATTCGTAAACAATTTATATTTTTATTATAAATATATATACAATAAATAACAATCAATAACAATCACACAAACATATTACATAACATAAAACCAAGGTAATGTTAAATGTTACATAAACAAAATTTTTAAATTAAAATAAATTTAAACAATCTTTAATAATATGTTTTTAATTATATTTCAATCTATTTAAGTTAGTTTGAATAAATAAATTGATTTGTATTGTTCTAATATGCGAATCAAACGTGTGTAGTTTTACTGAATGATAATTATAAATTCTTACTTTTAAAATTGTTATTATTTAGTATAAGTAATAATCACAAGTGTATGATAAATTATCACCCAAACAACAAATTTCCAAAAGTAATTAAACAAGTGATTTAAGAGCATTTATAATTTCGTTTATTTTTGTTCTTTTATCGGGTTCAGCACACCACGCCTTTTGAATTATATCAAATTCTTCAGTCGATATGTTGTCATCTTTTTCCAGTCGATTTCCATGTGACACAAAATCTGCGATACTCCACTCAAATTTAAATTTTTCTTTTGAATAAGCCGCCCTCCATGCAAATGTTTCGTACATTGTTATAGCAAACGAGAATATATCAGAAGGCATTTGGTATCTTTCTTTTTTCAAAATTTCAGGAGCCATGTAAGCTGGTGTGCCAATACCTTTAGTGAATGTCATATTTTTCATCAATTGATTTAAATTTCTTGACGATCCGAAATCAGTCAATTTTGCCAAAATTGTGTCTTCCATTTCTGTACTAAAAATCAGTAAATTTGCCGGCTTAATATCTCTATGTAAAATACCATTGTTGTGCAAATAAAAAATGCCATTTGCCATATCTATGATATATTCATGTCTAACTTTCTCATTTGGTTTTGAATTTGGGTCGTTCAGAGTCTTCTTCATTAAGTCATTTAAACTCCCATATTTCGCAAATTCTGTGACCAAACAAATTTTGTTTGGAATGAAAACGGCTCCGACAAAATAAACTATATGTTCACACCTTAATTTGTCAAGCATTGCAACCTCATTCGCAAATTCCTTCTTTGAATTTTCATCAGTACACCCATTTTTGAGTCGTTTGATTGCAACAACACTCCCTCTAAAAGTGCCTTTATAACAACTCCAAAACTTCCCTCCCCAGTTGCTCACTTTCTATTAATCTAAATTAATCACTTGGTCGCCAAAATGTTTTTGCTTTATTTTAATTTGGTTGGTGGTGGTCAGCTTTTTATATCAGAGAGATGACAAATTC